GGGTCCTTCGAACCCAGCGCCTTCTGCCCTGAGGCCTGCCTGCCCATCAGACCGTCCGGCTGCGGGGAGGGGTGGGGTAGCCACCCTAGGTCTCTGGCTGCACAGAGCCCGCGGGGCTCCCCGAGTGCGCGGCCTGCGCAGGAGGCAGATGGATCACGGTGGGTGGTTCGTTTCCAAACCACGGGACGTCCTGCTCGCCCTGATAGAGAGGTTTTGCCTGCGTCTGGCCGGCGGCGTGCGCGCGCCAAAAGGCTGGAATGTTGGATGTTTGGGTTTTTATGGGAATCACAGGACCAAATATTTTAAGTCTTGGAAACTTGAAAATGAGCATTCCCGTCATGATTGTGCCATTCCTACCCTCGAGACGCTCGGCCCTGCAGATTTGGCACAGGATCGGATAACATTTTTTAAATGTAATTTCCTCCCCTAAAACTCCCCTAGCGTCTCCCTGTGCTGGTCTCATGTTCTCGGTTGTCGTTGCTGGAGTCTCCACGTGAGAGCTCGCTCGGAGGGCCTCCTGTCCCCGTCTCACACAGCGGCTTCTCCTCCAGGCACGGCGGCTCCGTCCCAGGCGCCTCCCGGCCTCCTTACACCTTCGGTTCCTTTGCTGTGGGCCTGGCCGCCTGTGCTCTCGAGCTGGTCGGGGCGGGGCCGGGCATCTCACTGTTCAGGGGGCTGATACCCCCCGAGCCCGTGTCACCTGTCACGTCACACCTGCCCGGCTCTGCGCACTGGGGCCTCTGTGGTTTGTGGTGTTTTCTTTTGTTTGTTTTGTTTTGTTTTCAGAGAAAAATTTAGGGCTTCTGTGGAGTGGGGGTAGTGACATGGGAATCTTTTCCTTTTTTAAAAAATACGTACATTTTGGATCCATTCCCTCTGTTCAGTCCGGACTCACGGTCCCCGTCCAGGCACCTCACAATCTAGACTCAGAGCTTTTTTTTTTTTTTTTTAAAAATTTATATATATAAAAGGCTAATATGCTAAGTGTCCCTCCGACTGGTAGCTATGATGCGCACTGACCACCAGGGGGCAGACACTCAATGCAGGAGCTGCCGTGACGCGCACTGGACATTTATAAAGAAACGGCATCGCAGACCCGGCGTCAACAAAGCAACACTTGGCTTCCCCCAAGTGGGACACGGGTCCTGCCTCCGCCTCAGAGCGACAGCCACCAAACGACTGCCGAGACCCCAGGGTGCAAAATGTGGCCCACAGCCCAGTCCAGCCCGGAAATGATGGCTGTGGGCGCTGGGTAATGATGTCACATAGCAACGCCCGGCTTCCTCTCCCTAGCAACGACTAGCCTCCTTGCAGTTTCTTCAGCCCAGGAACATGACTTGCTTTATAGCCAGGTTAAAGTGTTTTCCCATGCCTCATCTCATTTAATCCTCACAGAAGTCCTGGAGTAGGTAGATAGGAGACTCGTGGAATCCTATTTTCTTTTCATTAGCCAGAAAACGGAGGTTTAGAAAGTTTAGAAACTTGACCTGACTGAAAAGTAAGAAGTGGTAGATCTTGAAAATGACTTCAGGTTTTCTCACTGCACAGAATATAGTCAAACACTGCTGCAGTTAAATATTTTATGCTTTGTTCTCCCTGGATGATCTACAATAATAATCTGCTTTGTGTTGATATTTACTGCTGTGTTGCTGACAATTACCTGAAAGAGAAGTTGGGGTGCTTCACTGGGCTGGAAAAAGTTTAGCTAAATCAGAAAGCAGGTCTAACTAAGCAAGTTTATTCTATGTCTATAAAAGGCTTAGCTGACTCGCGCATGTGCGATACATATAAAGCTCTTGCTGGCGCCAGTCGCACGTGTGTGTGTGTGTGCGTGCGTGTGTGTGTGTGTGTGTGTGTGTGTGTTTCCATCTGTCATTGTTGATTGTGAATTTGGTTGACACTCCTATTATAGAGAAAGGGTGAATAGCGATATTAACATATTTCTTCTAATTAATTCCCTTTCTGTGCATGAATTCATGCACCGGGCCACTAGTTTTAAATATATTTTAATTGATTTCAGAGAGGAAGGGAGAGGGAGAGAGAGACAGAAGCATCAATGATGAGAGAGAATCACCTATGGGCTGCCTCCTGCACGCCCCACACTGGGGAGGGAGCCCACAACCCAGGCCTGTGCCCTGACCGGGAATCGAACCGTGACCTCCTGGTTCATAGGTCGACGCTCAACCCCTGAGCCACGCCGGCCGGGTTCCAGTTTTAATTTCCACAGAGACACCCTGCCCGGCCAGGAGCTGCCACCTCGGGCCTTTGTGAAGAGCACATCTGCTTCTCTCAGGCAGGTGTCAGCGAGAACGACTTCTACGACGGGGCGTGGTGCGCGGGCAGGAACGACCTCCACCAGTGGATCGAGGTGGACGCGCGGCGGCTGACCCGGTTCACGGCCGTCATCACGCAGGGGAGGAACTCGCTGTGGCTGTGAGTGCGGCACTGTGCTGTGGGCTCCGCGCCTGGGCCTGAGGGTCCGGGTGTGGACAGGGCAGGGACAGGGAAGCGACTGGCGGTGGGTGGGCAGGTAGTATCCCAGTCCGGTCCATGCAGACCTGGGGTGGTATCAGCTGTAAAGGAAGGGAATTCTGACACCGGCTACAATGCAGAGGACCCTTGAGGACATGGCGCTAAGTGCAATAACCGTCACACAGGACAGACGCTGTCCGAGTCCACTCACAGGGGCTCTGAGAGAGTCAGATCCTAAAACAGGAAGCAGAGGGCGGCCGCAAGGGGCCGGGGAGGGGATGGGGAGTTACTGTTTGAAGGGTATGGACTTTCACTTTGGGGTGATGGAATGTTCCGGAGTTGGAGGGAGGGGATGGTTGCACAACACTGAATGTACTTATTACCACTGAGTTGTACCCTTAAAAATGGTTAAAATCAGCCCAGCCAGTGTGGCTCAGTGGTAGAGCATTGACCTATGACCAGGAGGTGAGGGTTCAATTCCAAGTCAGGGCACAGGCCCGGGTTGCAGGCTTGATCCCCAGGAGGGGGCGTGCAGGAGCAGCCGATCAATGATTCTCTCTCATCATGGATGTTTCCACCCTTCACTCCCTCTCCTTCCTCTCTCAAATCAACACAAACATGTTTTTAAAAATGGTCACAATCATAGGTTTTATAGTATGTATACTTTATTATAATAAGTGAAAAATGCAAGTGCAAATACCTCCCTCCTCCCCCAAAGAACCTCTCCACACCAACCCGGGGCTGGAGACGGCGTCCGTATTTCCCGTCATATTTCGCCTGTGATTATGCTGTTTTTAACTGAGCACATACCCGGGACATTTTCCTGCTGCTCCTCCGACTTCATAATGGTCATTTTTAACAGCCTGTCATTCCACAGCCAGGCCTCCGTCCTACAGTCACAGGTCATTTTGCAAGAAGGTGTTCTCCAGGAGGGGGCGTGCAGGAGCAGCCGATCAATGATTCTCTCTCATCATGGATGTTTCCACCCTTCACTCCCTCTCCTTCCTCTCTCAAATCAACACAAACATGTTTTTAAAAATGGTCACAATCATAGGTTTTATAGTATGTATACTTTATTATAATAAGTGAAAAATGCAAGTGCAAATACCTCCCTCCTCCCCCAAAGAACCTCTCCACACCAACCCGGGGCTGGAGACGGCGTCCGTATTTCCCGTCATATTTCGCCTGTGATTATGCTGTTTTTAACTGAGCACATACCCGGGACATTTTCCTGCTGCTCCTCCGACTTCATAATGGTCATTTTTAACAGCCTGTCATTCCACAGCCAGGCCTCCGTCCTACAGTCACAGGTCATTTTGCAAGAAGGTGTTCTCCTCCTTTTGTGTTCCTTTGAATTGTTTCCTTCACAGGCATTTCCAGAGCTGGGATCACCCTCGCCTTTGGGCAGCACTGGCTCACGTATGTGCTGTCCGTGTGGCACGTTTTTATTGAGTTGCTTGGCGGTAGCTCTTACACGTGTGCTCACACCTGCCAGTCTTTCCCCTGCTGTGCGCCTCTCTCTAATTGGTGGCTCGTTGCCATGACAATTGTTCTCACTGTTCAGATTCCAAAAGGCAAGAGTTTTGAAAAAAAGAAAAAGAAAGAAAAAAGTTGAGTTGCTCCAGGAAAAGGGACAGTTGGACGGTGAGGCCGGTGAGGCCGGTTGAGACGGTCCGCGGACGGTGGGGGGGGGGGCTGTGCGTTAACGCTGGGTATTGACCTGCGGGCCAGGGTGGGAGCGGCCGGCGGGGGGGCTGTTACTGGATTTGACAGAAGGCAGCTCACTTTCCGTTCCAGCTGAAACGCGAGAGGGTTTGGCTGGAGGAGAAATCGCAGCGGAACACGGTGTTTCTGGGCTCAGCCGAGGACAGGAGCCTCTGAGGAGGCGAGGGGTAGGGTTGCTTTTAAGAGGCGGCTTGTTTTTTTAAACGTCTAAATGCATTTCAAGTCCATTTATTCTTCAAGGACAATGCACAGGAGGCTGGAGGGTGCAGTCTGAGCTCCCGGAATAGGACCGTCTGCACTCAGGACGGAGTAACCAACGGGACGAGGGTACGTTCTGCCGTCTGAGCCTTTTCCCGGAGGCGTGAGTCATGCCGGAGGCGTAGGGAGCTAGTCCAGTGCGGCCCTAACACAGGTCAGCAGGAGCGGCCACCGCGTCCCGGCAGCGAAGAGGACAGCGTCTTCCCTCTGTCCCTCCCCCACGCTGTGCTCATGCTGTGCCCAGTATGGGCATCTATGGTACTTTTTAAAAAAATCGATTTCAGAAAAGAAGGGGGAGGGAGAGCGAGAGAAACATCGATGATGAGGGAGAATCACGGATCGGCTGCCTCCTGCACGCCCCTCACAGGATGGAGCCCACAACCTGGGCCTGTGCCCTGACCGGGAATCGAACCCTGACCTCCTGGTTCACAGGTCGACCACTGAGCCACACTGGCCCGGCTTCTTTGGCCTTATTTAGGGAAGTACTTTTCAAGCTTTATCTTTCGCCACAGAGCCGTCCTTTCGATAAAGTCTTTCTTGGACACACTCAGAGGATACGGACGAGTGAGGCTCCTCTGTGCGAGTCCCGGATGTCCACAGGCCGGCTGGCACCAGCAGCGCACACGCTGAGGCGGGATGGAGGGGGAGGGGGCGCAGGAGAGCTGTCCCCGGGCCCGGATACTGGCGGGAAGCGGGTCATGAGGCTTAGCCACGGCCGCGACCAGTTCCTAACGAAGAGGATGAAACACTCCAGGGTTCATGATTTTCAAGTAACTCACGCTCTCCGACAGGAACAAAATGGAGCCGTTTCCATGATGTTGAATATTTACGTTTTTCACTGATAAATGTCCTCCCCACTGATTGCAGTTTAGCGAAACGTGAGTGTGCTAATCAGAGCCGTCTTCCATCCCCTGCCTTTGAAGCGTTTGTCAGGTGGGTGAGTGTTGGAAGGATCTGTTACAATGTGATGAAGGAGAAGTTAGTCACTTCGCCCGAGCTGAGCGGATGCTCCCGATGACTTGGACCAAGTACAGGCAGTTAAAAACGCCCGAATGTTCCCGTTTTAGTTGTTCTGTAAACAAACGATCGTCGTCATCTCGTGAGATTCTGCACACGTGGCCTCAATGCGAGGGGGCGTTTGCCCGCTGAGGGCTGGGGAGGTCGACGAGTTGGCTGGATGTTTAGAAAGCATTTGGGCCCTGGCGGTGTGGCTCAGTGGGTTGGGCATCGGCCCACACACCCAGAGGTGACCAGTTCGATTCCTGGTCAGGGCACAGGCTCCAGGTTGAGGCTCGATCCCCAGTCGTGGGGGTGCGGGAGGCAGCCAATCCATGTTTTGCTCTCACATCAACGTTTCTCTCTCCCTCTCCCCCTCTCTCTAAAATCGATTATAAAAAGCAAACCCCGCAGCCCAGGTTCTAGAACCTTATACATATCGTCTTCTGACTTTGCCTTTAGAAGAGAAAGGCAGTTGGCTAATTTGCAAGCGATGAGTGAGGCTGTGCCAGGAGCTGGGAGCCAGGAGCAGGGAGGGAGCTGGGAGGGAGCCGGGAGCTGGGAGCTGGGAGCCGGGAGGGAGCCAGGAGCCTGGAGGGAGCTGGGAGGGAACCGGGAGGGAGCTGGGAGCCGGGAGCTGGGAGGGAGCCAGGAGCCAGGAGGGAGCTGGGAGCCGGGAGCTGGGAGCCGGCAGCCAGCCCGGCCGTGGAGGATCGTGGCCCCGTTTGCAGTGGGATCTTAGCAGAGGCTCCGAGTGCGGCTTCCCCTCGGGAGCTCTGAGGGCGACAGAAGGGAGTGGACGAGGCACAGACCCCGAAGGAAGCCAAGGCCACAGCCAGGCCTGTTTCCGGGTCCTTTCGGAAGGCGGCTGTGCTCACAGGAGGGGCCGTGCCAGGAGGCAGGTCCCTGGGGGCACGGGTGGCGGTGGGACGTGGGGCTGACACGGGGAGGGGCTCGCGTGGCAGGAGGAGGCGTCCTGATCCCCTGAGATGCTAAAGGCGGGGACTAATTCTGGGGATTCCGAGCCCCCACACCAGGGGCTTGTGTTCCTGGTGGAGGAGGGGGCGGGTCCTCTGCAGACGTGAGCCCTGCAGGTTGCAGGGGGCGGGGGGCAGGGGGGGGTGGTTGGACACAAAGCAGCTCCATCCTGATGCAGGGAGGGCTCCCTGGACTCTGAGCCAAGGACTGGAGTGGCCCCACCGGCACTGTTGGTGCTTGTCCACCAGGGGGCGGTAGAGAGGCTGGCAGTGCCCTGGAGGAGGTCCAGGGAACCAGGGCCTGGTGGGGAGGAGTCAGAGCCAGAGGCTGGTCCCCTGGGACTGAAGGGCAAGGGCAGGGAGATGAGGCTGCGGAAGTGGGTGGGGAGGACGTGGCCATCGAGGACTCCGTGGGCAGCAGAGGGGCCGCCTGGGGTCGGGAGGCCATGGGCAGGGTCAGAGGGCAGCAGATGCCTGGGAATGTGGAGGCTGCAGGGCTGGCCGCTCAGCGCTGTGCCTGCCAGGAGAATCCCAGGACACGCTGGACCCTGGCTCAGGGGGGGGGGCGGGGGGGGGGGAGACGGGGGGTCTGGGTGGGGAGG